GGGCAGACACTAAGCTGGTCCCATTCCCCAGGTCCCCATGGGGCCAGGACCCCCACGTTACAGCCACCCGAGTGATGGCAGCTCAGGCAGCCCGGCACTGCGGCGTGTGCTGAGCTTTGGGAATCACACAGAATCACAGAATGGTAAGGGTTGGAGGGGACCTCGGGACGTTTGCGCTCCCAGCCACAGCCGCAAGAGCTCCCTCAACCCTTAAATTCAAGGCATCTACACAGCCCTGAACTGTAGACCTGTGGCCAGTTCCTTTGATGAAGAGCCAGAAAGACCGTGTTCATGGGCCAAGTTGTCTGCTTGCAAACATTGCAGCCCCTTTTCTCTCTGAATAATCACGTTTTTCCCAGCCAGAGGCACAGAGGGACATCCTGGAGCAGAGGGATGGAACACCACGCTAATTTGGCAGGCGAGGGGAGTGCGGTGCAGGTGGCAGGAGCGACCGGCTGGTGGCACAGGCTGCGTCAGCAGCCGGGCAGGGCAAGAAATCCATGGCTCCTGGAAATCCACGGCAAGAAATCCTGCTCCCTACTATGCATGCTGCAAAATGAGGCCAAGCAGCCACGGAGACGAGGAGTCCAGCCCCCTTCCCCAGGCTGCAGGGGAAAGGGATGTGGGCCACGAATAACACTTAGCAGAGATTTAGGTCTGGCCTGCCACATTCCCGAAGGACTAGCCCCCAGCAGCCTGGCCAGCAGCAGCAACCTCAGGAACAGGCAAGCTAACCGGTCTCCCGCTTCACGCTAACCAGCTAAACGCTCAGGAGGCGGGCAACTGTAAAAGGTGATGGCACCGGATCAAAATCCCACGGGACAGCCCTGTGAGAGCATTCACATGATCACCAAAGCAACCCCCCCCACTGCCCTTCGCTTCCCCCGGGGCCCCCCATCGGCTTCCCCACCGTCCTGTTTTTTTTTGGGGGATTCACAACTGGCTTTTGGGGTTAGGGGTGCCGGAGCACGCTGAGGATGGGGAAGACCATTCAACCCCAACTGCCCTCTCCTTCTTGACGGTATCGCCCGATTGCCTCTGCTCCCGGTGAGAGCAGAGTGGGCAGCCAGCAGGGATGGACGGAGCGAGGGCTGCCCGCAACGCATGGCCGGGCCCTTCCCTTGAGTCATGCTCGCTGCCTGCCCAAGCGTGCCCGCAGTGTGGCTCCTGTCCTTCTTTCCTTCCTCTTTCCCCTCACAATGGGGTTTTCCAGCCTGTAGTCAACAAAAAAAAAAAAAACCACAAACCCATCCAGCTGCCAGAGCTCAGCTTTTCCTTCTGGCCAAGGCAACGATAGCTTTTTCTCCTTCTCCTTTGCAGCACGCTGGCAGGACGCCTGCGCGAGAGGCACTGACTTTGCAAGCCCGTGCCTGTTGTGGCACAATAAGGTCGTTGTCAAGAAGCCGCTGCACCGGGAGGCTGATCTTGAGCAAAACATGGCCCCAGTTGTGAGTTGGGCAACCCCTGTGGCTGCTCCAACACTGGCCCCATTGTTCCCCATTGTGAGGCTTTCGGCGTCGCATCGTCCGTTGAAAAGCCGGTTCCTACCGAGCTGGTGCAGGCACCGATCCAACGCGCATCATTGCCGGGTATCGAAACGACCCGGTTTGCTAAATTAGCTGCCTCCCAAATGGTGGGAAACCCACGTTCTTTTCTCACTTCGCACCACTCGGATGAACACGAGCTCTCGATCGAACAAAAACTCTCGACCTCCCACTTTCTCTTCTTGCAGGAAGATGAAGCTGCAGAGATCAGCTCAGGCTCCGGCCAGGTGGAAAGGCCCCATCAGGACGACCTGTTTAGAGCAGGAACTTAAGACGCCGGCACAGCTCAAACCACATCCTGCTTGCATGCTCACAACTGCCTTTCCATGGCTCCTCAGCCTACAGAGTGGGTAAAACCCAGGGGAAACTGCTGCCCTCGGCGAGAAGGCGGCCACGGAAGCAGCGCTTCGCTCTCGTCGACGTGGCGTGGTGTCAACGGGACGCAAAGCCTCTTTTGAAAACGCTGCCTAAGAAGAGGTGATAGCACGGCAAAGAGGGAAAAGCCAGCGGGTGCTTGAATAGGGGAAACCACTCAGGGTGCGAGCCGATGGCCACAGAGGAGGGGAAGTAGGGACCCACAGTACAAAAAGAATAAAAAAGCCATAGGCCCCTTAAAAACATATTTAATAGTTTTCAAACTTTATTTCATGGTGATTGACGAAAGACACAAGTTAGTAATGGTTATATCATGCTGCTCCTCTACTGTGCATTGCCCTTCAGAATTCATACAGCAGTTCACAATGGTCATTAATTTACCCTATAAATGAAGCCACATGGACATCTTTTTTTTTTTTTTTAAAAAAAAAAAAGCAAAAAAAAACCCAAACCAAAACAAGCCCAAACCCCAGGAAAAAAACCAAACCTCGATGTCTTTTTTTTTTTTTTTTTTTGTACATACATGTTATAAATGCTAGTAAAAATAAAGCCGAAGTGAAGTGCACAGCCCCTAGGGAGCACTGCTGAATCTGACCTTGGTTCAAGATGCTTGACAACGAGGACGCGAGGTCCTGTTTTAAGGCATTTCCAAGCCCCAGCAAAAGCAGACAGAGTTTTTGTTTTTGTTTAGTTGGGGTTGGTTTTTTTTGTTTTTTTTGTTTTTTTTTTTTGCAGTGACCCTGGCTTCATTTGAGTGGCATTCCAGAAAATGAAAATTAGCAGCTTCCCCTGCGCACGCCCCGCTCCCGCTGGAGTTGGCACATCCAGCCTCAGCCAACGCAGCTGCATTGCCCAGCATTGAACTCACGGGCCCCAAACACAGATCGAGGGGCTCGCCCTTCCCTTCCCTCCCATCCCACCCCATCCTGCAGCCCTAGGTAGCCCCTGTCTATCTACACCTCGTGATCAAAAGCCCATCCCTTTCACAACACAGTCACAGTACTCCCCACCAGGAACCACAACTTATATACAGTAGCCACTTAAAATGTGGTATTGCCGCAGCCACAGCCACACACACAGGGATGGGACACATAGAATTCTTTTAATAAAAAAAAAAAAAGAAAAAAGAAAAAAAGAAACCCAAGTGGTTTTACACGACGTTCTTCCCCTTCGTTACGTCTGTGTTCAGAGCTCACCCTGAGAAAATCTGACTTTTCGCGGCTCAAAATTTAGCGCCAAGGATCGACATTTTTCAAGGGTGCGCTACTTCGTAAAGGCACCCTGCAAGGTGTGCTAGAAATCCATGGTAAAAACCACAAAATGATGGCACCCTGGATGATAAAGTAACACTCGCTACCTGGCAGGATCCTTCAGATTAATGCTCTCCGCTCCGTAACGCTGGTTTTACACGCAGCGACGCCAGCCGCCATCTCGGTGGGAAAGGGAGGCAGCCGTGTCCCAGCGGTGGAAAGGGCCATGGACACTACCGAGCATCATCAAATCCTTCCCATGGAGAAGGAATGGCGTGGGTCATTGCTTTCACAGCTGCGATCCCTCTGTCGCGCTCCCGCTCACAGGAGATTCCGTGTTCGCATGCAAACGTGCGCTGGTTGACGCTGGCAAACACGCACACGTTCACCCAGAAACACACGTGCTGGCTTCGTAACTGGCACCATGGCATTTGCCTTCAAGATTTGCATGGAGGAAGAAAATACTTTAAAAAAAAACAAAAACCCCAACCCTCCTCCCCAACACTACTGCCTCGGCAGCCGACTCGCGCCCCGTTCCCGTTCCAGCCATCGCTGCTGGGCTGGCAGCATCCCCAGGAGCTTTGATCGTGGCGTGGAAGACCCTGCATTGCACCGGGCATTGCGAAAACTTGATGTCAAAAGGTAAAACCCCAATGACTCTTCATGGGAGAAGCTCTAATACCAGCTCTACAAAGATCACAAGCTGCCCAGCTGCAAGCATCCCCATGGTAGACAGAGGGCAGGTCATGCCCAGCGGCTGGAAAACGGACATGGGTCATGGAAGGACACATCCAACAGATTTTTTTTTTTTTTTTTAAAGTGAAAAGGGAGCCAGTCCCTGTGCCCTGGCAGCCCGTTGGACAGCACTGGAAGAGGGCGAGCACTTCCAGCTCTTGAAGACGTGCTGCAGGTTCTCACCGGTGCATGGGAGGGCAATGCTTGGTGCACAGAAGCTCTTGGGCAGAGCAGCCAGGGCAAGCAGGCGGTTAAGACATGTCTGGATAAACCAAAGCGTGGAAATGAGGTTTCACAGCTGCTTCTGCACATGTCCAAGAGGAGGAGGAAGAGGAGAGCCAACAGAGAAATCAACATTTCCCCCCCAGCACCTCTCAGTCCAGCAAACAGTCATAAGACAACCAAAGAGCAATGCTTTTCTGCCTGCTCAGAGCAGACCTTGGTCTCTCTTCCAGTGCACGGCATCCCTGATTTTAACAGAGCATAAAGGAGAAAAGCACTTGAGATTCTTACACACATAAATTATAGTGAGAGGAAGGGGGGGAGGAGGGAGATGGGGTGAACACAGGGCCAGGAGAAGGCTCGGCAGAGCCAGGCCCCAAAGCAGGGTGGCAATTCCCGCGTCTCTGATGGCCCCTTCCCTGCTCTGCCAGCACTGCAGAGGGGGGGCTGCGGGGCCGGGCCGGAGATGGGAATGCAGTGAATCCACGACGGCCACACGTCTCTCGCCAGCACCAGCAGCCTTTCCCCCGCGGGCATGAGCAACAACCCAAGAACACAAGTAAAGAGGGGGAAAAATAACCCAAAAAGAAGCTTCAAGTATGAATAAGATTTACAATGCAGGTGCAATGGGGAAGTTCTTCTGTCACTTCTTGGAGACTTGGTTCAAGGTTTGTTCTTTGTTGCTGCTGTTTGATTAGAGTCTGACTGACCTGGATAGACTGCAACCGAACAAATAACCCAAACAAAAAGGTGTTTCCTCCCCTCCCATTCCCCCCTCCCCCCAAAATATAAAAAGCAATAAGTTTACAAAAATAGAAAATAATTACAGCAATAGGCAGGAGGGAGGGAAGGAGAAGGAAGGGTCCCTGGGGGTCTATTTGGCTGAGCAGTGTAATATCGTGGGGTTGTTTAAAGCGTCCTCCACCAGATGCAGTTCTTGGCGGTCGACAATCACGTCCCTTATGCAGCCGATAAAGCCAGTGCTGTAGGCCTTGGGCAGCTTGTGAGCCACGCTCAGCTTCTCCAGTCCCCCTGCAAGAGACAGCAGGGAAGGGCGGGGGGGGAGGACAGGGGACACGCTGCCGTGCGGGCCAGCAGCCTGCCCCGTGCGGTGTCGCACACTCGGGCACGCACGCACAGTGCCGGCGCTGCTGGGAGTCACACAGAATCCCAGAATGGCAAGGGTTGGAAGGGACCTCGGGAGCTCACCCAGAGCAGGGGGCACAGGACAGTGTCCAGGTAGGCTTTGAATATCTCCAGAGAAGGAGACTCCACAGCCCCCCTGGGCAGCCTGGGCCAGGGCTCGGGCACCCTCAAAGTCAAGAAGTTCTTCCTCACGTTCAACTGGAACCTCTTCTGCTTCAGTTTGTGCCCATGGCCCCTTGTCCTGGAGCTGGACAACACTGGGAAGAGTCTGGCTCTGTCCTCGTGACCCCCACCCTTAAGATATTTGTACGTGTTGATGAGATCCCCTCTCAGCCTTCTCTTCTTCAGGCTGAACAAGCCCAGCTCCCTCAGCCTTTCCTCCTAGGGGAGATGCTCCAGTCCCCTCACCATCCTTGTAGCCCTCCTCTGGACTCTCTCCAGTAGTTCCTCATCCTCCCTGAACCGGGGAGCCCAGCGCTGGATACAGCACCGCCTTCCTCAACACGGGGAAAAACCTCTTTCCTGGCCAGTATTTATTTTTGCTTAAATGAGAGAGATACCAGTTCCAACCAACACATACAGGTCTCCTGAAGACCCTTAAAACAGTAAATTGCACTCTAAAATACCAAATCAACTCAGAATACTTCATTTCCTTGGAGATCGGTCCCAAATTCAAACTGAGTTTTATTTCAGTTACTGCAATGTCAACTATGGCTCATTCCAGGCCCTGACATTATGAAACAAAAGTTTTGGAAAAGCCAGTGGGGAATCACAGAATCCTAGAATGGTTTGCGTGGGAAGGGACCCCTAGAGGTCACCCAGCCCAACCCCCCTGCAGGAGCAGGGACACCTTTAACCACATCAGGTTGCTCACAGCCCCGTCCAACCTGGCCTGGAATGTTCCCAGGGATGGGGCCTCCACCCCCTCTCTGGGCAACCCCTGCCAGGGTTTCACCACCCTCACTGGAAAGAATTTCTTCCTTAGATCCAGTCTAAACCTACCCTGCTTCAGTTTAAAACCATCACCCCTTGTCCTGTCCCTTTCTTGTGGAAAAATTCTGCTTTCCACATAGCTCCTGGGTTGGTTTCAGAACGAGAAATGGCATGGGGGATGCTGTCTTTTCAGAGGTAAGGCTATATTTTTGCATATGAACTCTTTGTACAGTCAGGTTAGACCTGAAACATGGGCTTATACTGGGAAGGTAAGAACAGAGGCTTCTGAAAAGCATGAACAGAACCCAATTCACTGTTTCTTCATTAGAGCAGATCAAAATCCCCAGATGAACATTTCTGTCCCTTGATTTCTGTGGCTTTTACGCCCCTTTGCAATCCTGAATGCTAGGACTGCTGCAGCACCTGCCTGGGGAGCCCAGTCCTTAACTTAGGGATGGAGACTGAGCCACGCAAGTTCCTGAAGAGATGAAGGAAGCCCAGGACCTGCAGCATCCCCTGTCACCGGGCATCCTCCGTTCATCCCTTCAGGCTCCAGAAAGGACTTGACTTAGCTCAGATTAGTGTTGGTTGTAGTTAAGCACCATTACCCGATGCTTGCGGGTGGATTTCTTGCCTATTTGAGCTGTTACGGGGCAAACCTAGCCTCTGTCTGTGCTGACAGGTCTGCCACAGGCAGCCCCAGGTGGACGCAAATGGGCCAAACTCGGTTTACAGGATCAAAATAGTTGTGTCAACACAAGTGGAACTGGGTGCTGCACGCACGGGCACTCTCTGGCACCTCTGCTTATTCTGTTAGGCAATTAAAGCAACATTTCAAATCTGGGTGTTTAGGTATTTCCAGACAGAAGCACCCTTCTCTCCATTCAGCCATTTCACCTTTGGGAAACCAGAAGTACCCAAGCAAACCCCCCATTTGGGAGGTTTGTGAACCAAATGTGAGG